AGTGGGAGGACAGGTCAGAAGACCGCCTAGATTCCCGCTAGCAACGCTAGAATAAAAACTCGCAACTACTGACCAACTAAACCAACTAGAACAACTAAAAAGACCCCAACAAGGTAATACCCGAGTGTCGGCTCCCAACGAGAGAATAAATTTGACACTCGGGCTCACAGAGGCCAAACGCCCAGACCAAAAAAACAAAGAACAATACTAAACACTGAAACAGAAACACAGACCAAATACAAAAAGCAAAAGCAAAAAGGGAGACACAACCTCCCCCGCACAATACATCTAGGCACAAAGCAGACAAAACCAACTCCACAGTCGGCTCCAAAGCACAGAAAACCGCCCACCACTGCAGAAAGCCTAGCAAGACGGAACCCGCACCCCCGAACCAACCGAAGAGCTAGCCCGACCTCCAATCATGAAAGGCAGCAACTACTACGCCTCAACCCGACCCAAGACGCCTGAACACGAACAGACAACCGAGCACTTACCGAAAACAGCAAACCGATCCCAGCAGTAACTACGGCCACCCGCCGAGGACCCCCAAAACCAGCTCGCCAAGAAGCCCTCCGGTCACAGACACAATAGAGAAACCGAGACAAAGCAGCAAAAGCAAGTCATACCTTCAATTGACCCAGCCTAGAGCCAAAACAGAAGGAGCCTATGTCGCTCGCCACTCCACCGGCGAAAAAGCACCGTCCCAACCGGCGACGAGAAGGGTGAAAAGGGGGGTAGAGCGCTCCAACGGCCCAGCCAAAAACGAGAGCTACTATCCTTTCCTCGTCCATGGACCAGCAACGCATACCGACCACCGCCGTCCACTCCAGAACTCCGGCAACCAACAAGGCAAGAGGATCTACCCGCTTACCAAATCGCGAAGCTGGAATGGAAACAACAATAATTGGATATGGCAGCACCGCCATAGACGAGCGACGGAGGCCGTCCACCTCAAGCCCCAGACGACCGGCGAGGGAGAAATTCCGGCACAAATTAGAGAAGGCGAGCTGCTAGGGTTAATGAGAAATTAATTGTTTTATATATCAATCAACTATTTAAGACTGCTTATTCAAACAATTATCCGCTATCAGCTAATTCAATCATCTATCAATTTGTTGACATGGCGATATTTTTCGTTAGCCTTCCCTCCTGTAGGTTCTGAGCATGTCGGGGACTCATGGTCTTCCACAGTGCTCCTACCCCATCTTGGGACATTCTGTGGTTCTTTTTACCCTCCTCAAACTCAAACCCTGCATCTTAAGGTGGAGTTCATAGCACCGTGGAACACCATGAGTCCCCGACAAGGCACAGAACCTACCGAGGGCCCGAATCTCGGCAAGACACAGAACCTACCGGAGGGAAGGCTGACGAAAAATATCGTCAAACGCAACTAATCATCAAGTATCAAACAGAGGCAAGATTAGACAAAACATAAATATTGGAAGAATAATAGAGACAATCAACTAATAAAATAGAAGTGGTCAAGAAAAATAAATAAATGAAAACGTGTTATTATTAAGATTCTATCAATGTGCAGAAATCTAATTTCAAAGTGTCTACTTCAAGAATCACGCCATTAACATCAACCAATTTTTCTCACTCTCAATTAATGATGCTAATCATATTTCATTGACCTTTTATGATATTTAAAAAAAAATGGGTACAATTTCGTTTATATACGGGACTTGGGCCATTAAAGAACAAGTTGGACCCAATGGACTTTGTTCACATCAGACCAAAGTCTAGAGCCTTACCATCAAATAATTAATTGCCACCTCATTTGAATTCCATTTATACGTAGAACTAATTTCTATAGCTCATAAAAGGAAGCAACATGCATACTACATTAAGAAAATGGGCAATGGATACTAATTATAGACATTAATTTTGCATTTAAGAACATGAAATGTAACATGAAAGACAAAACTTGAATTTTGAACAAAAAATTGTGTTGTGTGTTCATGTTCTTGTTCAAGATTTAATCATTAGTTTTGTTTGTTTGTTTGTTTGTTTGTTGTTTTTACTATTTTCTTGTTTTGATCTAAAATTTTGTATATTAGTTTTGGTTGATGTGATGTGAAAAGATACTGATTGTTATTATTTAATTATATTAATAATATTGAGGACACTAAAGTTAAATTAAAGAAAGCGACTGAATTAAAAATTAATTATTATTATTTTTTTTCAATCAAATTCATATTCAATCACACTTTAGGAATCTTCTAGAAACCATGACCATCAAAACCAAACATTTTTATTTTGGGTAAATTCGATGCAATCAAAACCAGACGTTTTTATTTTGGATAATTTCGATGCTACAAGTGTAAACAGTGCCCACACGCGATTTATCCGACTGTAATGAAGGACAAGTAGAAATGAATTTACTCTAACTTTGGTTGACGAAGAAATGGAGGTTAATGGGTGTGGTCCCACGGACATGAAGCGCACCAAAGCAGGGTGAGCCTAGAAGGGCCTTAGTGGTTTTTATCATAAAACCAATTAGTGGTAGGAGGAGTAGCTCTCTAGTCTTATAAGTTATGCATATTTTCCCTGTATAGAGGGAGTGAGACAACTTATAAGTGTATACTTTAACACGCCTCCTCACTTGTGAGTCCTTCATAAGAGGTCCAAGCACACAACTTGGTTGGGTGACGGGTACGTCACTGCACGGTCCCACGTAGGCCCAAGCCCAACTGGGCTGGGTGAACCTGACTCTGATACCATGAAGAAACGGGGGTTGACGGGTGCAATCCTGCGGACGTGAAGCGCACTAAAACAGGGTGAGCCTAGATGGGTCTTAGTGAGTTTCATCCTAAAACCAATTGGTGGTAGGAGGAGTTGTCCACTAGGCTTATGAGTTAGGCATATTTTTTTCTTGTACAGACGATGTGGGACAAATCACAAGACCTAATTCCATATTTTGATGACCACTCTAGTATATATATATATATATGTCAAATAGAAGCAACAGCTATTTTATCAAAAAACAACGAATATATATTAGGCATCACTCAAACACCTAATGAATCAAAATCTTAAAAGATTAAAAAGCCCCCTTAAGTTTCCTCACCCCTTTTCCTTTTCTGTACTCTCTCTTCTATTCAATTCTAACAATTGATTGTCAGACTAGAGGGAAAAAAAAGTTTTTTGGTCCTTTATCTGCATGTCATTTTCAATTTGGTACCGTAAATGGACCGCTTTTGGAAATAGTCCCTTAAGTGAAAAAAAATTAGTTTTTTGGTCCTCCGACCGCCTACAGCAGGTCAGATTTACCGGCTGCCTACGTGGAAATTCGCTCGAATTTTTTTTTTTTTTTTTTTGCTGAGTTGTATGCTTAGGTGGCGATTATGTGGCATAATTGTAAAAAAATGCTAAAGAGAGGATTCGAACCCAAGTCCAATGGGGAGTAAAAGAGCTCATGGACCACTTGAGCTAGCACACTTTATGATAAAAATTTAACTTTAATTATATATCTACCAACATAGTTTTATCTAATTTATATTATTCAATTTGTACTACTTTTATATTTTAATAATTTTTTTATATATTAAATAAATAGTATTTAATTATTTTCTAAATAAATATTTTAACGTATTTAATTAAATTAATTATAATATTAAATAAATATTTATCAAAGAAATGAATAAAATAAATAATATAATTTACCAAATATATAATATTATAATTAAATATTATTTGTATTTTAATTAAATATTTAACAA